AAAAAAAAAAGAAAAAAGAAAAAAAAAACCAACAACAACAACAAGATTTTAAACAATTGAAAAAATATTAACATTAAAAACAAAGTTACTTGGCATAAGAGCAAAATCAAATAGCATATTTCCTCACTGATGTAACAATAAGCATTTGGGACAATAAAGCGAAACTGCCAAGAACGCCATTATTTCTAGAATTACTGGCAAACCTTAAAGAGTACTTCGGCAATGAAGTGTTTGGCCATTTGCAAATCCAACTCCTCTTATGATTCTGTGATTCTGCTGTTTATACTCAATAATAAATACAGAGAACGAAAGGGTCCTCAGCTTTAGGTTTCTAATTTTGCTTCCAATTGACTTACAAACAAAAGACAGTCTAAAACCTATATAACAAACACTCTCAATTAATCAATGTCATTATAGCTTTGGTAGGCAAACACAACAAAACCCAGATTCTCCCTACTTCGAGCTTTTACAACAAATAAAAGCACCAATAAAAAGCTGATGTTCTGAAAACTCCCCAAGTAATCAGTGTTGAAAGAAATTCCAGAATCCAGATTCTCCTAATCTTCAAACGTACTTACTTTTTAGATGTTGAAATAGATGTTCGTTGATAAACCGCGAGGTCTCAGGACCACCATGCCCATCATAAATCCCCACAAAAGTGCCATATGGCCCAGAATCATTTATGCTCAGGCAACCAGATTCTAGTTGGCTTTGATCCTCAAGTAAATTGTTTGCTTGAACAACAGCCATGGAAAATTCTCCGTTAAAATGTTGTCCATAGTCCTTATACCAAAGAAGCCCATCTTGACGACCACTGGCATCCGAACCCGAGTGAACATATCGGTCTGCCCTTGGCCGAAAACAGGCCCTCAAAAAGTTCATTAACCCAGATAACATCCCTCATCTCATCCAAAAGACCCTCCAAATTATCCACATCTAGTGAACTCGCGATTCAATCTTTTCTGCAGATAGTACTGAACTTTATACTAAGTAAATACAATCCTCCAGAAATAAACAAGTGATATTCGTGGGCCTCCAAGTCTGTCAACACCACCCAAAATCATCAAAGTTAGAGTTTAAACGGCAAAATATTGCAAAACCAAAATCAAGATTAGCACGAAGTAAGCACTTCCAATGTGAATCAGATATTTGACCAATAACCAAAACAAAAACCAATGAGGACAACGCTCGTTGGACAATTAATAATCATGAAAAATCATAAAATTCAACAGAAGGGAAAAGGGGTTCGAGGACATTCAAAACAAGGAATGGGTCAAACCACCATTTTTTTTACTCTCGGCTACTGTTTTGGTCAGCCCGTTCACATTCTAGAATGCCCAAGTCCCCATATACACAAATTAAGACTGCGGACCGACACAGTAAACCCCCCAAAAAAAACCCTAATTTGTTGAAATCGCAAAAAACCCTTCTGCCATTCCCCAATAAAAAGCAATGAATAACTGAATAAGTTACCTCCGGAGCTGATTGCGAAGAACGGAGATCTGAAGGTGAAGTGTTTTTAGATCTATGGATCCAGCAAATCGAAAAGGGAGAAACAAATCAAATCTGGATGTAATTATTCTTCTTCCTGAGAGGAACAGGTTGAACGAGACGATGATGTAGATTTCGATGAGGTGATGTGAGGCGAAAAAAAAAAGGAGGAAATGGAAAAATCGCAATAGCAATATATAAAGAGAAAGCGAGTGAAACAACAAAAGCTAGAGAGATGAAAAGAAGAGAGATGGAGAGAGAGACAGAGAGAGAGAGAGAGAGAGAGAGAGAGAGGTTATTACTACTGCTGTAAAAATTATTGTATGTTTGATTGGGGCAAGTAAGCTCTGACCTCTGTGATCAGACAAACCCCATTAAAAACCAACAATGGCAAGCTTGAAGCCAGCAAAGCAGAGCAACAGTTTTGGGCTCCACTCTGGTTTTTTTTTT